AAACTCCTTTACTTTGTATTGCTTTTCTTCCTTCCAAGATTGTAGCAGAACCGTAGCCAGGCTGTGCCCACCACATTGCCATGCTGCACAAAAGCACAGGCAGCATATCAGGTATTGGAGCACATCCTGAGAGCGCTGGAGCTGCATTTACTGAATAAGCTTTGCAGTGCCACAAGGGTGGGGACCAGGGAGTGACTGGTGCCATGACTTGTCTTACTTGGGACTCTCATTGTTGTGGTTCAACATAAGGGCATAAGCCAACCTGCAGGCTTCATAAAGCAACAAGCAATCCCTTCTGTGTACTTGAGGTGAGTGCTGCAGGAAGAGGCAAAGGAGTTAAGAGAAGGCAAGTCTGGTTTCAAGGAGTGGCTAGATGGGGAAGATGATGTCTGTTTTGCCTGGACAGGCTCAGGACCTTATTCTGCTGCCTTGTCTGCAGGCAGTCTGCCCATCAAAATTATCTCTGGTGCTGAGTGCAGAGAGGATGAGCCAACAGCTTATTAAATAGGAGTCTCTGTTATTTCTGCTGAGAAAGGTGGCTTTTATTTTCCTGAAGGGTTATTAACTGAATTCTTCTCTTGTCATAACTCTGGTTGTTTTCCTCTGCTTTTTCCAGACAGTTCTCCTTGGTTCTTCAATGTAGGCAATGACTTGGAGGGATTTACTGGTAGTCTTGTTAAATTTGGAGCAGGAAGAATAAAAATAATGTGGAAATAGGATTTCTCTGGGAGAACAATCACCAGAGCCTGACTTTGGGACAAACTTGGCTCTGCGGTTCAGCAACTGCTCATTTCTGATGGAGTGTTGAAATCTTCACAGCACCTTGGACTGCCACCTGCACAAACAATCCCATGACTGGAGTTGGACCCCAGAGATGTGTAAATACTCTTCGCTCACCTCACAGTGGTCTGGTTCCAGTTGCTGGCTGGGGAGGGCAGCACAGATCGTGGTGGGCAATAGGAGGCTCTTGCCAGATTCCTCTGCCTCCTCACCATCTCTGATGGGGCCATGGTGTTCTGCTGCTTGGCCCAAGAGCAGCATGGATGGCCCATTTGCCTTGTCCCAGAGCTGCCAGCATGGGTGACAAGTGCCAGTGTAAAAGCCATGTGCTAGCAATTGTTGCCAGATCCATTTGTGCAGTGTCATTTTTTAGTAGACAGTGAACAGAAAATTCTTTCTTTTTCCTTTTTTAAATTAGAGGTTTCTCAGGAGGAACTGAGTCTGAAAGGCAGGGTAATAATTTACATGTCAATTCTCAACTTGAAAAATCAAGCCATATTTGAGAAAATGTGGAGACTACTGGTTACAATGAGTTAAGATACCATAGTACTTTGCTCAGCAACACCGAATATGCTTCAATGGAATTAAGAAACTGCAAAATACACCACTTCATACTTATTTGCATAGGTAAATGAACAAAGCAAAAAGAAATCAACAGTGAAAGTATTCAGTGTGATGGTGAGTGAGATGGAAGGAAGGAAAATTGCCTTCAATCACTTTGCTTCAGTAATATTTAAATGCTCTTAGCTGCATTCCTAACAATCCTTAAGAGAGAGATTTGGGATCCTGGAGAGGGAGATAGTTCAGCATTTCCCAGAATGATCTCCATTTAAGTTGCCTTAAGTGAGCTAGAGTGCTTTTCTTCTGGGAATACAGCCAGTGTACATAGAGTTAGAATCTGCAGCAAAGGTGCTGCAAGATACTGCAAAGGAAGAAGATCTGGATGGTCTGTGAATACATGTCCCATCAGTTCCCAGCCTCAAAGTGAAACATGATACAGAGAATTATCTGGGAGTAATAATCCATTAAAAACCTATGTGTTTTTTATTTTGTGAAGTCAGACAATAAAAGATCCCATGCTACAAAAACTCAGTGGTTTCTGTCACTTGTTGAGCATCTTGGCGAACATTGGGACTATGTGCGCCTGAGTGAGACCTGTGCCCCACTGGACCTGAAATGTCTTCTACAAGAGTTAATCCTATGCAGCCCCATTGGGCAGGATCACACAGGGTTATATTCCCCCCTGGGTTTTTTACAGACACACAACACTGCCCAGTGTTCACACCGTGTTGGGTTTTTTTGATTCTATAACAGTACAAAAGTTATCTTCTAACCACAAACACAAAATCCTATAATTAAACCTTTGTTACCCACAGCAGAGGGCTCATTATGTATACAAAGCAAACATTTTGACGAGTTTATTGTGCTCCTTGAGACTAAGACAGAATTAATAGCATTGCAAAATTACAGCAAGCTGCTTGCTACTCTGCTGCTGAATTTTTTCACTGGCAACAAGATTTTATGTTCCTCTTCATCTTGATAAAAAATGCAAGTTTTTATTGTCAAAGGCAGCACAGTACAAAACACCATATCAAAGTAAAACTGAAGGGATATTTTTTGCCTTTAAAAATTGCACTTCACTGTCCATTTAAAATCATTTAGTTGCCTTTTTCTTTTTTTTTTACATACAATTACTAAGCATTGGGAGGAGGTAGCTGATTAGGGTAATTCAACTATTAAAGTGCGTAAATCATGAAATTTAGGGGTTTTGTGCTGAAAGATGCCTGATAGATGATTTCATTTGCATTATGTGAGGCCCTTCACTGCTGGGAAGGCACCTTGCTCATTAAACAGAAAGCCAAAGATGTCTCATGCAGTACTTATGGAAGAGGATACTTCTATTTTTCAAGTCCATTTTGTTGCTGTTCTTTGACTGTAATTCCAGCTCTGTTAGTTTATGTGCATGAGTCATGACCAAAAGGTGAATTTTTACATTTTATTTCCCTGTTAGGTGTTATATTCCAACAATATATATTGCAGCTGCCTGAGCAAAATGGATCAGCCTGAGTTAGTCATATTGCCTCTCAGCTGCAAAAGTATAATGATGTCCTCAGGAAAGCTGATCAGATCTGAAAGGTTTTTCTGGTGGCATCGAGTGTGAAACATAACTCACTGTTCATACAGAGGAGAGAACTAAATTTTTATTTGCATCTTTCTACTTCCACAAATGAGCCACTTCACCAAAGAAAAATACATGAGTTCTAAAACTATTTTCTGCCTACCTGCTGCAGGACACCTATAGCAAATTCTACTTGCATGACCCTTTGTCTTAGAAATCTGGAGACAGAACAACACTGTGAGAAAATAAAAATTCCCCTGGCTGTCATATCAGAGGTTCAAGTAGCCAAGTGTCTTCTCTTGCAGGAAGGCCAGGGCCATTGCAGTGGTAGGAGATTATGAAGACGACCACTAATTGCAAAGGTTCTTGCAGTTTTAATTGTTTTAAACAGGGAGGGAATTGTAAGAAGACAGAATGTACCTCTAACTACATTTCCTGAAAACCTTTTCATGGGGTGGCAATAATGAAGGGTACACATTTGGTCTTTTTTTATGTTATATGCCTTAAATAGAGAAACTGGGTTTTTTTCAAGATTGCTACAAAAGGTAATAGCATATCTTAACATTACACTTTTGCTAATTAGTTATTTATTTTAGGAAGGGTGTTTTGAAAAGAGAGGGAGTTAACATGGTTTTTATTGTATTTCAAGAATGTGTCTACTTCTACTGTAGGTCCTAAAATATTAATACCAAAAAAGAAAAAAAATATCACTTGAGATTAAGGACTGTGCATGCTTGCTCATGGGAGAGAATTGTGGAAGCTTTTTGCACGACCAGCCTTTGGACAATTGAGCCCAAGGCTGCATGTCCTGTAATTAAGTTACCATTTCTGGTGTGGATCTGTTTGACAGAGAGCTGTCTTGTCACTTGTGATTTCAGCAGGTATCTCACACGGCCTTTTGCCAGGAAGGAGAAAACTCTGGGACAGCTGGCAGAACCCTGTTTGGGTCGGGGCTGCTGACAGCTCTGTGATGGGCTGCAGCACGTCTGTGCACAGCCCCATTCAGGACCCCAGCAGCCGTGCAGGCTGACCCCAACAGTGATGCAGGCTCACTGGCTCTGACAAACACAAAACTAGCTTTTCCTTCTCCTGTTTTTAGCAATTGAAGACGACTTGACTGAAAATCTTTAACAGCATCTTGAACATTCACGTGCTCAACTCTCTGTTTCTTTATTAATTACTAAATGCAGTTGTCATTACCGAGAGGGCTCAGGTTTTCCTTCCTGCCTCTGTAGAGAAGACAAGATTTCAAAACTGCAAACACAGGTGCCAGAAAATCCTATATTTCTTAAAGTCTTCCCACATTTTTCCAAAGAGAAAGTAATATGATAATAAAAACAAAACCACTAATATAAATAAATCTAGGGATTGCACTGCTAAGGTAGTACTTCACCCATGCATACAGAAAATGAAATGCTTGTCTTAGCAGTGGGGCATCACAAGGTTTGTCCTCAGCTTCTGTAACTCATAGGGCGGTCATAAAATATGTTCAGAGTTGTTTCAGTCAATTAGCAGCAAATGATTTATCTTGTCAATCTTGTTAAACAAGCGAAGGTGAAGAGCCTAGGAGACTTCATGAGTGGGAGTCACAAACTGGTGGGGGAGATTCAGGCCAATGAGCACGAGGATGTTATATAAAGGTAGTCAAGTACAGACATGCTATCTGTATGTTACTGGTTTTTAATGAGAGAAATTAAGATTATGTGGGGGATGATATGTGAAGCTGGCACTGTGATGAAATTCACAGTTTTCCCCAGCATTTCAGTTTGAACTTTAGCTCCAGGATTTTCAGTTCTTAATTTTTAATTAAATTCATATTGACCATTGTTACTAATACTATCCTCCTGACTGGGCATGAGGTTTCACAGGAAGGAAAGCCAGCTGCAGCCAGATGAATCCAGGGAGGAAAGCAACTGTGAATGCATTGATGAGCTTCCAACTGCAGTTCTGTTTCCTTATTGCTTGCCTGCTTGAAAGAACTGTGCAACCATGATTGCTTACAGAAAGAACTGAGGAATTTTTTTCCATGATCACACATAAATGTGCATATTTGTGCCAACCTAACCCCAGAAACTGTACTGCTGTCTTAACCAGGCAAACCTGCAGCTCAAGCAACACATTTTAATGGAGTAGTCACTAGCAGCTATTCAGGAATACCTCCACATGCCTAACAGCTTTGGTGGAAAGTGTCACGTGATTCCAGTGAAACACATCACGAGAATCAGGATGTAAGTGCACAATTTATAACTGTAAACAGAGAAAACCATAACAAATAGAATTTTCCAGCAACAACAGAGGTTCAGCAAAGTTTAGCAAAGATCCTGTTTGGATACAAATATTATTAAAAGCAGAAAATGCAGGAAATACATAAGGCAAAAGTTTTATTTTTCAAAGTTTAAGTATGTCCTTAGCATAATTTAAGTACTCCATTGCCATTGCAATTCTGATTGCTACAAAACTGAAGGTAAACTTTTTGACTGCACCTATTGCACGCTTTCTCCACAGCTGTATTATAAAACCCTTCTGTATCAAGAGATTCTTCACTGTGATTAGCTGGTCTGTAGGAGCTCAGTTAAGTAGTTGACTTAATTATGGAAGATGCTACTTGTTGGCATCATTCTATTTTATAATCTGTGGCATATCGCTCCAAGCTTGAGACTTCTTTTTGGCCAGCTCCATCCATGATGGCTGATCTGGAGCAGCATTACTGGCTTTCTTCAAGTGGCTTATTTCCTCCTTATCCACCAGTGCAGGTGATGGAGCTACTGTGAATAAACCACATGGACATTTTACATTTACATGCTGTGCAACTAAACACCCTCTTTTATTAAATACTTCCCATGCTTTGCCCTATGGTAGAAAATCTTTACATTTCACGTGGAATCAATAACTTATTGAGGATATTACCATTCTGTGGTCTAAGTAATACAATTTTTTTCTCATCACTAATATCTTTTGATCCCTAAATTTACCACAATTCAACATGATGACCTGGATTCTTTGCTGTGCCCTATGTTAACACCCAGGCCAAACAAGAGAGTGTCTTTTCATTAGCTAAAGAATTCACTTGTGAATTCCTCCTTTACTCAGCCCCCAACTCACAGGAATTTTATTACTTAAAAATTTCTGCCCTTCTTTCAAATTTTAATTTACCAAGGAGATTTACAACAAACTCACTGTGGGAGGACTGATGGTCAGACAGTTTGTGATCACACCATTCCTCAGCTTGCTGAGGAAGCCACATTTAAATTGAATGCTATTGTAAATATTTTTATTTACATTTTATAGTAGGATAGTGCATTTAGCCCTCTGTCTTGTGAAAGGGCCTGGAGTCCTTGATTCACATTTCTTTCAACACAAGTTTTTGGCTACCCCTTTTTACTCTTTTGTTTGTAATCAAACTGGTCAAAATAATATAAATAAATAAAACCTCAAATAAAATAAAAAATAAATAAAACACCAAGTAAAACCCCAGACATGAGTGCTGAGAAAACTCTTTTCCCTGGCTGATGTGAGGCTGAGGAAGAGATTAGGATCTAGCCCCTACTCCTTTTGCAGCACACTGAAGCAGGATTTCTTCTGATGAGGTTGTGAGATAACAGCCTACATTTTAAGCATTTTGTTTCTTACCAGAGACATAATGTGACAGTGAATTGGTTCTCAGCAGGGGCTTCGCTTCAGGCTTCATGTCTTTCCTCTGCTCTTCAGAAGTCGCTTTAGGTGCCAAGTGTGAAGGTTTGCTCCATTGTTGCTTCACTGGCCCCTAAGCACAAAGAGGGATAAAATCCAAGTAATTCAGGAAGAACGAGTTCAGTTTGGAAGACTACGAAGTAGTGAAGTAATGGATGGGGAGCCTGCCACAGTTCAGCAGATATTGGTCCCAATCCTCTCCCTAGAGCTGATATCTATTCAGAAAGTTACAGTGTTTTTATGTAACATCCACGATACTCAATTTTACAAATTAAAATTATCCCTCCATATCTCCTATTCATAATGGTATGAGTAGATAATTATAGTCTTCACTGCAAAATATATTCCAAGTCCTTTGCACATCTCTAGAAGCATACACAGGATTTAGGAATAGCCTAATTCTCTCATGTTTTCCTTCCATTTCCCAAATTTTGTGGGCTAAGGCACTGTATTTTTGGACAGTTGATGGTAATGGATTTTTCATAAAAAAGAAGTCAAACACATCCTCCAACAGATTTTCTTGCCAGTATCAAAAACTACCCTGAAGTGATAGTGCCTGGTGCCATGTGGGAGAAAGTGGGAGTAGTACAGTGGCACCAAGCCTCACATGCTGCAGTCAGAAGCATCTTGGCATGTTTCTCTGCTAGCTGCTATAGGGAAATAAAATGCATGGCATGAATTTCAGGGATCATTGCCAGCTAAAATCTGGAGTTTCCTGTTCTGACATAGAAACTGTATTTTGGGATCGTGTTGGGCATTACTGCAGTTCAGAAATTGACCTAGACATCTTATTAGGTATTATTTCTTGTTAATTTAACCACTGCTATTTTTCATCATCTAGAAATCATATCTTATTCCAGGGTATTATACACCTGTCTGGGGTTCTAGTAGTACCACCTGAAGCAAGAAAGTAGGTAATTTGCACTGGGAATGCCATGCTGGTATAGGACACACATGCTCCTGCATCAGAGCAGGGTTCTTTATTTGTGCAGGACTCAAAACAGGCAGCAGGTTAGTGTTCTGGATCCATGCCAAGCACTTCCACTGGCACAGCTGTGTCATCTGGAGAGATCATTTGCTACTGGTATCACCCTGTTTTGCATGGGATATCTGAAGAAGCAGTGTCAGCCCATATTCCCTGGCACCACATGGGCTTCTGAATTACCCATATACAGGGAACCAGAATTTACATACTGGCACTCTCTGCAAGTGCAAAAGTTATTTTTATCCTATTTCAGGGCTATCCTATTTCTCAGGGCTCTAAAAATTGTTACCTAGAAGTTTCCGGGACCAAGCTGTTCATTCAGTGTTAAATCAGTCAGGAGGTATAAGAAATTCAATGAAAGTCTGTGCTTAAAAGGACAGTTAGAGAGAACATATTTCTTCTGCATTGAGGAGGATCAGAGACTACAGTTTAGCACTTCATTTTAGATTTTTTAGCATGCAATACACATGTTAGATCTGGTAGGTATGCCAAGAAATTTTACACACTTTACATAGTTCCAGGAATTCTTGGAGACACAAAATTACCTATCTGAACAGTCAGAGAACTTTGAATCTGTAACACATTTATGAGAGCAGTATATTTGTTAGTTACAGTTACACTCATTAAATACCTGTAATCACTATGGCATGACTGGTAACGTAGCAGCAGATCCAAAGATTACTACAGGAGGTGATACAAAAGCATCACAAATGTGTATTACAAGTACCTCTGTTTGTTCCTTTCCTTTATTCTGTTTCTCTGTATTTGACTTATTATCTGGAGCCACAAGCTTTTCTCTGTCGAGTTCCTTCTCCTGATGCATGCCTCTCTGCTTTTGCCTTGCAATGGAAATCCAGGCTGGCTCTGTAGGAGTGTCAGGATCTCTTCCAGAGTCTCCGGCAGCCATGAGGGAAGACACGCTTTTCTCTGTTGACAGATTATTTATGTACGTGGTTATAGGAAAAATAGTTGTAATCAGCTTCAGCTCATACTTTCTCAATATACTCATTGGTCCCAGGATATGAAACCAGCCTGGATAAATAGGAATTCTGTTTAGTTTGGTCTCCAGAGAGCAATTTTCCTGTGCTCACAAGTTTAAGTTATCATTCTACTGGTGAGAAACTTTTCATCTTTGTTCAGCTGGAGTCTCAGTTTCACTGCCCTCACGTGAGGGAGATGCAGAAACATGAATCAAACTTCACTAATCTACCCATTTCCCAAGATCTGCCTGCCCCTTCTTCTCCCTCTTCCACAGTATCTTAGAGACAAGCAGCAGACAATTCAAAGGTGGACACAGAGGAGCTGAGGTGTTGCAAAGATAACCTTTTCCCCACTGTGGCTGCCCTTGGCTCCCACTCTTCTGATGTCTATGCAGCAGCAGCCCATGTCTTAGTCTGGTTCCTGCCTTCCTTCCACCCCTTTAGGAGCATCTTTCCCCCATGCAGCAGCGCCCATGCCTTAGTTGTTTCCTGCTTTTCTTCCACCCCTTTAGGAGCAGCCCCCCACCCAGCTCTGTGAAGTCTGCAGGTGCCATGGGTGCCTGTGCACAGCAGTCTGTGGTGTCTGAGCACACAGAAGTACTGCTAAAACCAGAGTGATTTTCTGGTCTTTTGATGTGAGATTACATTAACTTATCCCTGCTGACGCTGACCACAGTCTTCAATGAGGCCAGTGACTTCCTTTGTGCTCTACTAGAAATGAGACTTGAGCAACAAAAAAAAGAAAAAGATGATTTCTGGAGAAGTCAAAACTACTACCCTGCTGATCTCACAACTGCTACCCAAGGACGTGAAGAATCCAAGGTTACAGGAAAGAGAAATACCCTGTATTCAAATATTCTGAGAAGGGAAATCCTGTCTATTCACTGAACAGAACTCGGTCAAGAGAAGAGCCTCAGCAGCTCCATCAGCTCCATCCCCCTGGTTCTCCATTTTTTGACTCACACTGAAGACAACGAATAGTTTCCCAACGAATAGTAGAGCTTCTGTGTAGTTTAAATGAGGAACAAGAACAGGTCTCAAAACCAATAAGGTTGATTTCACCTTTCCCAGCCAATTCTGGCCACTGATGTATCAAAATTTACAGAAGGCTCTTTCAGAGCAGAAGTCAAGCTTCTTGTCCTCAAATCATGTGTGGTCCCGCTCTTCGGAAAAGTTTGTTACTTAGTCAGCATCCTGTTCAGGTAGCTGGGAGGAGGCAGACCCAGCCAGACAGGATTACTGCCCTAGGGTCCCTTGGGGGCTCAGCTGCTCTGCTGATGTAGAGCCAGCCATGGGACCCTGTGGAGCTGTCAGACACATTTTTGGAGTGCTATGGTCTAGTTTGGTGGAATGTGGCCCTGAAAAGGAAAGCAGGCAAATGTCTCTGAAGGCACATTTGAGATGCCTCATGAAGGCATGGAAGATAAAAGGGATGATGTGCTCCCAAGAGCTGGAGTCTGCCAACACAGGCATATTATGAAAGCCCACAAACTTGCTTTGCTCAGGGATTTTCTCAAGTCACTTTTATACCTCACTAGAGAGAGCAGTTATTTGAACAAGAGAACATTATAATGCCTGTGTCAGCTAAAAAATGAAAAAGAGAAAAAAACCCATGCTTTAATGCCAAAGCAAGATGTTTTGCCAGCTGATGCTTGCATTTCCCTTCACATTCACCTCGTGAAATCTTGCAGGAAAACCTCTGGAAGAAACAACTCAGAAGTCCAGCTGTGCAAATGCAGCACAGATAAAACAGGGCCTCTGAACACAGAAGGAGCTTCCCTCCCTCTTGCACAGCATGTTACTCCAATTCTCTGCATCCCACCTAACCCCCATCTTTGCATGACAACAGCTATTCCTCCCGTAATCTTTTTCCAATCACTGTCTTTTTTTTTTTGCCTTCCACTGGCTCTCCTTGCTTCATTTTTATCTCATTTTACAGGATGATAAAGAATAAGGCTGGAAGAGATCTCAATATGTCATGTAGTCTATCCTTCAACTGTAAGGCAAGATCAGCTGAAAGATCAGTTTCATAGAAACTGTTACCTCACAAATATGCATCTAATTCTCCAATAACAGGACAGGTCTCAGAGTCTCCCTAGGCAACCTATCCTATGGCATGGGGGTTTTTTGTTGGGTTTTTTTGGTTTTTTTCTATTGGGTAAGTTAAATCTTCCTTGCTCTAATTTAAATCCTTAACTATCTCTCCTACACACTATGGACACGAGCAGATTACTCATAGTCTCCTTGCAACAGCCTGTTACGCATTTGAAGACTTAGACCACATTTTCCCTATTTTTTTAACTTTTCTGATTAATCATATTCTCTAGATCACTCTTTCTTTTGTAGGAATTATCCTAGTTTGGTCAAATCTCCTTCAAATATGATGGTCAGAACTGGAACTTGAGATGAAAGAATGTTAGCATCAGCTGAGATGGAAGGACTACTCCACTTCACCTGGAATGGTTTTCTGTACACATCAGTCAGCGCCCCTTAACTTCCACAGCTCTCCAAGATAACCACTAGCAGGTCAAAGTCTGCTAGCCCATCTTCTCTCTTAGGACAAACCTCATTAGGATCTTCATAGGTAAAACCACACAGTTGAAATGATGTGATGTCTGCTAAGGCATCTGCCATCACATTCTTTTCTTTGCTTGCAGCCATCTGCACCTTTTCAGGTGGTGGGATATTTGGGCAGGGCTTATTAGTACACTGCCCAGTAAAACCAGGTGCTAAGCTTCATCAGCTCCCAAAGCACTCCTGCAGCATGTGGATGAGCTGCCACCACTGAAGGTGATGGCCCGTGTTGCTCAGAGCTGAGGAGCAGCTCTCTGGCTGTACAGCTGCAGACATACCACCACATGCATCCTTTTCCACCACCTCTTTACCTTCCTTCACTATCTGTAATGTCTTAGTGCTCAAAAACTCCAGTGTCTTTATCCTGAAGGTCCTTTCCAATCCACCCACACTTTTTGATGATACTGGGAACCTGGCTTCTGCCTTGATGCTGCCAGAGATGTACATCTTAGTTGCTGGGACTCCAAATCCCCCTGTGTGTTTTGTCCCATTTTCCCTGTCACACCACAGGAGCTTTATGTAAATATCAAGGTTGTTCCTCCTCTGCTTCTACCACACAATCCACAATCCACACTGACAAAATGAATGCTATGCCCAGGCTCTATTTACTGCACTACATGTAATGATCTTACTGCTACCTGTGCTTTCATTTCTCTGTCATCCTCATGAACTTAGGAGTCATCCTGCTGTTATTTCACTGTGCCTTGCCTGGCACAACAGGGTTCCCAGTCCTGTAGTGTTATGTCTGGAGGCTGGTATTATAAGGATGCTTTCATAAGGCAGACACTCTAACGAAGGCACCAAGCACCCTTATTCTTCAGGCAGTTCTTCCTGATGCGATGCCAGACATCCTAGTCATGCCAATTAGAAGACAGCCAAATTAGAGCCAGGTATCATTCCATAAGAGATGGTATCCAATGACCCTTTGATAGTAAGGAACAGACGCTCTTTATCATAATCCTGAAGATTTTATATGTATCTGTACAGGCCAATTTAGGACAGCAGAGTAGAATCACCTACAGAGGATCAAGAACTGATCTACTACAGGGAGAGGCTTTCTTGTATCTTTAAGCAATTACATTCTGCCCCTGTTCCTTTGAGAGACTTGGCTGCAGAAAGCCAGACAGGCAGACAAGGCAGGGGGAGTGCCTCATCTTCATAAAAAAAAAAAATCAGATGCAACCCACACAGGATTTGCTACCATATCCATCAGCCAGAATTACTGTAAGGGGTAGAAGAGGCATATTTACTATTTATTATCTTTCCCATTGCCCAGAGGTCCTTTACATCCTCCCACCTCCAATTAGATAAGATTTCTTGGCAGTATATATGCACCATTGTTCCAGCCAGAAGGATGAAAGGTGGTGAAGTACTCCATGAGATAGAATGGTGAAGAGAGCTGGCAGTTTAAGGTGACCTGAGACTGTCCTGTGAAGCTCTTGGTTCCCTAAGGGATACAAAGAGGCAAAAAGCTTTCTCAGGAAGTGACTGTTCTCAGGGGAAGTGCTGCTCACACATCTTTCTGGGTTCATAACTGATCTCCTTGAACAAGCTCTGTCTTATCTAGTCATGGGATAGTCCATGTGCTTTTATGATTCACCACATGGCAAAGCATGGCATTTAAGGAACGGGTAGCCCAAGTGGAACCAAAAGTACTCAAAAGGACGATTTTAATTCCTGCATCTGCTGCATGTCACGTGCACTGCAACTGGCACAGAAACTCCCAGCTGGTAAATGCCACTCTTAGGGAGATAATAAAGAAGTACAAGATGCAAGCAGTGGCGTCACCCATGCAAAGCTTAGTCGGGTTTTGATAGACCATAACCACCACAAATGCTCTGTGTTTCACTTCTCCTTCGTTGAAGCAGGGCTGAGCCTTTTCTTTCTGTGTTATACTTGAGAGATTTTCAGAATAAAACTAAAATCTAAATAATATTCTTAATTTCATATTACAACACGTTGTTTTAAACAATGTGCTATTCAACTCATTCCTTAATAACTTCATAAGCTAATAAAGGATATTGCTGGCAGCAATTTGTCTCTCAGTCATTCACAGCTTTAACCTCGTGATTGCATCTTTCCCTGGTTTCCTTGGAGCTGGCTTGGCCTCAGGCTTTTATGAAAGAGAGGAGCCCCTTTCTTCCCCTTGGGATAAGCCACCAACAATGGAAAGATACCGGGTCAGAACTTGTCAAGCCAGTCTGTGCATAATGTCACCATGTATTAATTTAGCCAGCAATTAATGTAAGCTCCTGAGATCTTCTGCTGCCACTTGAAACCACACCCAGAGGCTGCTGAAGCCTTCCCTTCATGTCTTCTCCACAGCCAGCAAACCCACATGGGACAGTCACAAGGTCAGCTGTTGTCTGCATTCTTTACCACTTCCACAGTTTCCAGAGCAAGCACTGAGGATAGCTGTAAAGCCAAGTGAACCATAGCCACTTCTCAATTCCCTCCTGCAGATCAGAATCCCCCGAGCTCTCCTCCACTGAATCTGAAAGCATCAGGGCTGGTTGCCTCAGTGGTCCTCTAGAGAGGGAAACTCCCCTGCTGCAACCCCATTTAATGCAGGTATCTGTTTCCCTTATTATCTTACTAAAACAACTTTCTTTTTTTTTCTCAGACTAAAGCTCTGATCTTATAGATGAAATTTCTTCTCCCTAAATATTGTGGAAATAAATGTGTACATTTCTCACTGATATATGGATATTATCCTGTAATGTGTGTCAGACTGGTTGTATGAACAGTAAGATGAAGATAATACGTTAATGTACAAAAGGAACTGTGATTGACTTGCTATTGTGTATGGGTTTATACACACACACACACAGAAAGTGAAAGATATCCTGTATTTGAATAAAATGTACCTCTCTGTGTGTGCTGCTTATATGGATAAACACAGCAAAGACATATCTAACCATTACCCTGAGATATAGGGATTAGCTTTGTCTTTTTTAGAGATGGCCTCATATTTCTTTAAATCTGAGACCTGTTTTCTTTACATCCAGAAGTGACTGTGCACACTAATTGTAGCAGAGGTTCTTTATGACATGTAAGTCTCATACTTGGAAAAGAACATCTTATGCCTGCAAGGACTGCAAAGAGTGGTTATTCTTGCTGTACATGTGTGCAGGCGAAAGGTCAGAGTCAAAATTTAGAGTCTTTTGAAAGTCAAACCACTAACAGCAAGCAAAGCTAGCTTGTGGATTCCCTGAGTGTTTTAAAAGCAAACATACTCAAAACTAATCCAAACAACTTACACACAGAGATAACACCCTCTGTATGTAAGTGTCATTGTTTTATAACACTGCTTATGCATGCATATTTAATTCCACACTGTTGTATCTTTGCTCATTTATAAAACTCCAGTTATTTTAAGAAGGGCTTTACAAATGCATATAGCATTTAGAATATCTTGGCCTACATATTTCCCTTTGTTTATTAAAGCACTACATGGATTCATCTCAGTATACACACCCAATTCCTTAATTTCAGACAAAGCTATTCTAAAGATTTGGTTATGTATTTCTGACATTTCTTTCTTCTCTAAGCTGCTCTAAGAGGTATTTGACTTTTGATTGGATCTATACCACCGAAGCCAGAAGAGCCTTTTTTACAGAAGAAAATGCTGTTTTCATCAAAGTCTATTTCACTGCTGGAAAACAGCCATGTTGCAAAATAGCCTGACACAACTGAGAAAGCAACTTCTTTCAGCTTGTTTTTCAGCTGTAGCCAGGACAGCATTAAAGCAATGTCTTTTTGATGTAGAGAAAAACACTTCTCTTGTCATTCCAGAGCCTGTATTTTCCAGACAATACATACCAATTTCATTCACCATAACATCCATCGCTCTTCCCTGAACTCTTTTTCTCTTTTCAGAGGTTGTCTCCCCACTACAGCTCCTCAGCTACTGATTTTTGTTTATTCTAATATGCAGATTCAGACAAGTGTCGCTTATGGTTTTACTGTTAGCTGTTAGCATTTGGTAATTATTTCTGCCCTTTACAGGATTTATAGCAAAGTGTATCAACTCCAAACAACACAGCTTAACCTTTTAAATCTTGCAAGGACTTGTGCCTTTAGCTCCAAAGACTTAAAAATTACTCCTCCTGGGGTGACTAATTTCACACAGACATTAAAGAGCTTCCTTGCAGCCTGAGAGACGTAAAGCAATCCCTCACTAGTTCCCCTGAAAGCTCTGGGGAGCAAGAGTGCTGTTTTCACCTGGTGTGTTAAGCCAGCATCTCATCAGTTCTCCTGCTCCTTTGGTACCAAGAGTGCTGAAAAGCTAAAATGTGAACTGAATGAACCACATTGCTCCTGCTGACCTCAGTAATGCAGCAAACTGACTTTTCTGAAATGAATGTACACGGGAAGGGAACTGTATCCCCTTGTATCACCATTTCACAGCTTGTCTTCTTGTTCAGCTCACTGATTTCCTAACATGCAGTGGGAAGAAACTCCCTGACAGCATAAATTGTCTCCTGATGGTGACCACAGCTCTTTGAAAAGGCTGATGAACTCAAGGGCTAGGAGAGGGCTGGGTAAGGAAAAAAAAAAGGAGTGTCCAGGCAGATCCAGAGGCCAGAGATGCCTGATAAGACACACATGATCCATGAGGGGCTGTGTTGATTGTGTTTGTCAGATTTCTCCTGTTTGCAGTTGCAAAGATAAGCTTTAAATGATGTTTGGTAAGGGCTATTACCCTGCTAGGTCCTCATTGCATCCCATGATTGTCCTGTGCCTCAAGGAGGGACATCATTTTTGAGGTCACTATCCAATGGTGTGGTTCCAGGGGACTCAGAAGAGGTGGGTACACCTCATTAACCCATGACTTCAGGTGGCCAGATCAGGCTGATGTGGCAACTTAGCACAAGGAGGTGCTTGGTCAAGTGCCTAAAGAAGGCAGTAGGTAAGGAAGAAAACTAATTACCATCACAGACCAATCTAAACCATCATTTCAAACAACCTCAGGCTGTACAGATTTGGTGTAATACTCTCAGGAAGAGGGGAACAGAGCAGGACTTCTTAACCCTGCTTCAAACTCCAAGTTCATGTATCTCTATCATGGAGACCAAGGCACAACTCTCACCCACAGATCCTATTTTGCAGAGGGCAGTCCTGCATCTCAGGGCAGAGTCTCCTTCATCCTAGGGCTGAGCAGCCACAGGAGAAGCCTGGAGGAGAAATGTGCTCCCTGGCTTCATTTCTTCCCCCTCTTCCTTCTCCGGCACTCATTGTCTTTCACTGCAGGAAGACATTCCAGTCCATCTGCAGGCACTCTGAGACTAAGCAATGGGGATGTGATAAAGGGCTGTGTGAGGGAGCACTGGTACTCCCACTGCTCTCCTCCATACCCTGCCAGAACAGCACTGCTATTCTGTCTTCTCCTCTCTTGCCCCAGTATGACTCTCCCCAAAATCTCAGTCCATCAGAGATGTGGGCGTCACTACAATCAACTCCTCATGGCAGCACAGAGGGGAAAATGCCTTTAAAGAAAGTGTTGGGATTATATACATACCTATATATCTATATAGATATGTCCTGCCTTGCCTGCAGTGTGTGGGGAGGCTCTGGCTGGATGGCTGTGGGGACCTCATCCAGCTGAGCATCTTAATGAATCCCCTCTTTTATGATGGCAGGGAGAACAGGAAACTGTGAACGCGGCCAAAGTCCTGCAAAAATGTCTGTGATGCCGCAGCAGAGGACAACTGGAATCAGATGTCACTCAGAACATCAGCAAGTTGCCTCTGGGGCCAGGAAGAGACTTCTGTCACCCTAGAGGACAAGTAGCCTCCCGTGCCCTGAGATCTTCTATCTTGGTGTTTCCCTACTCCAAGCTCAGAGTCCGACCCCAATCAGAGAAGAGCAACCCAATGTGGGGAAGCTCTGCAATGACACAGAGACAGCCTGTTATTTGCTTGGCCAGCATCTTCTCACATTCTTAACAGCAAACCCATGCCCAGACAGGTCCAGGACAGAGAAGACTTTTCTTCCACATATCAGAAGACCTAAAGATTCTTATTTTCCCCTCTTGGCTGTTCTCTGAAAAGCAGAGGTCTCCTGCTAGAACTGCTTGAGTGTGTTTCACCTAACTTGTTTACTGTCATTGCAAAGAACTCAGACAGTGGTGCCACTTCCAGTCTTTTCTGTTCTCTGCCTGTAGCCCACAGTATATTAGTCTCCAGAGGCCTGACTTTTCTTTTTTTTATCTCTAACCCAATTATATAATACAGACAACAGGGTGAAATATAACAATCTGTAGTAGACATGTTCTTGTGGTCTCTCCTAGCTTTGAACTCTAGGAAGCTGCAGGGTTGTTAATTTTTGTTCTAAACAAAAAATGAGTAATGATAAAGACAGATAAATGAATAAGAAAAGCTCACAGGAGGTAATAAATAAATGGTGTGTTTACCATGGCAGGCAGTGACAGGGCCTCATTGCATTTCTGCCTCAATGCTATGGTGAAAAGGAAGGCCTAGAGGTCTGAGTCACTCGTCCCACACAGGGCACCACACTTAGTATTTGCTCTTGGATTTTGAATTGCCATGCAGCAGCTCTAAGTGGGGACACTTAGTGGCTTGCTATTTCTGTTTTCCAATACGTGCTAGTGTACCTTGTTTTTTGAGTGTCACTTTGAACACACTTTAAACAATACCCTGAAATTCAAAATTCAGAGATAAAAATATCTTATTCTGTCTGCTGTTTCTTCCCTGCTGTCTTTTTGACAATCTTTTCAGCAAGGGAAAATAAGGGAGCAACATCACTGAAGGCAGAGCCATCAGCTGGGGCTCACCAGGCAGACACAACAGTGCTGCCTCAATTCTCTCTCACAAGAAAGGTCACTCTTTGCAAGTGAAGGTAACTTTATACAATTTTGGGAGTCTTACCAGGTACTTTAGAAGCAGATGACTGTTTCTCCAAGTCTCTGCCTTCATTTCTGGATTCAGGAGAGTGAATAGCTTTATCCTGCTTCTCCTTGCTTGCAGTAGTGTTTGGAATGGTCATACTTTGCAACACTGGCTTTTTAGGCAATGGAGGTTTGCTACTAAGCTGTTCAGAGGACTTTGCTTTGGGTTTGATCTTTTCTTTTAAAGAATCACCAGTATTTGTATTGGCTCTTTTTCTGATCTCTGCCTTATCACCTCTTAGAAAGGAAGTCAATCCCTCATTTTCTAAATTAAATTCTGCACTGTATCTTTTAATCCCTTTTGATTCTGGTGGTGAGTTGTCTCCATAGTTCAAGGACAATGAGGTGGATCTAAGTTTCACTTGAAAAGGACTTTTATCTTTACAACTTGGCTGATTCTGAGATACCACTGAAGAATTGCTTGGCATTGGAACTGCATCAACAGCTGGGGAAACATAACTGGCCAAAATTTCTGTAGGTTGGCCTGTGTTCTCAGAGTAGGACTCTGGCAGCAAAGTCTCCTTTTTGTTGCTACTTTTTTCCTCTTCCATATCTGATCCCTTCTGGAAGTTGTCTTGCCACTTCTCATTTTTTGAGGAGACCTTTGCTTTGGACAGGAAGAATCCAGTATTTAATGGGGTTTCCAACTCTGATCTTTCTGGGAAATACAGGCTTCTGGTGCTTGGTCTCTCCTGTGCAGAGGAAACAGAAAACTTTTTGAAGGCATTGAGTTCATTGACTGCTTTTTCAGCTTTCTTCCCCAACCGTTTCTCCTTGTGGATCAGTGACTGACTGTTCTCCTTATCAGAAGCAGCTGCCTCCTGTGCAGTCTTTGTTTTCTCTAGAGAGCAGGAAGTAGATGATTCCACCTGCATTGAGGAAACAGGATGTGAAACATGGAACGAGTCCGTGGGCTGCGAAGAACCCATGAAAAACTCTGTGCTGGTCTCTGACGATAGAGTAAACTCTTCGTTTTCCCCTTTATTACAGGGCATTTCCACAGGTACCTGATCATCCTTCTGTTTATTTTCTTCTGACCTTCCTGAGCAAACAATACTATTCTTAGTATCTGAAATATTTTCTTCAGATGGTAATTTATTTAATGGAAACACAGTAGGCAGCTTCTTATTTTCGTGATTTACAGTATTGATTGACGTGTCCCCAGACAACAAAACCAGTGTTTCTGAGGAATCTTCTTGCTTTTGAACTTCTCTGTCTGAACTGGAATAGGAAGAAGTTGCAGAGTCTTTGCCTTCTGACAGCAATGAGGACTCAGACCCCTCACATGTCATTTCCAGTGTTGGTTGGCAGTCCTCTGGCTTATTCTCTGGTAGCAGGGCTTGCTGTCCAACAGCAGACTCTGAAGCAGGCTGAGTCATCACAGGTCTCAAAGCAGGGGGGAGGTTCTCAGGCACTCTGGGCTTTGGCCCAGAAACCACATTCTGCATTGTAGCTGTGCTGCATGGCACTTCTTGATTGCTGGGCTTGAATACAGCATCATCCTCTTCTTCTTCCTCTGGGGTACAGCTCAAATCAGTCAGAGATTCAGATGGGGTCTTCTGTAAAAAAGAAATTCAGAAAGCTCCGTCATCATGTACAGCTTCACTTTTTTTCTTATTCATCATTACATTGACAGCTGAGATCATAGAGAGGAAGCAATACTTCAGCCTCCAGTGCTAAGCATGCAGTTTTCTTAACCTACAGACTGGATGCTTTTTTAATTAAGCAGATCCTGGAATAATGAATTTAACCAATATAAAAGCAATGTGTGACATTTCCTTCTGCACAACTAGTGCTTTCATGGCTTTGTAGATGGGAAGTCCATCAGAACAATGGCCATTGGACTGTCCTTGGCAATGGATTCTCCAGAGCATACTGCCTATGTTGTGCTGCTCTTGGGCAAAAAGCAACACTTGAAAGAGAAAAATCAGTCTCTTTGTATTTTGCTAGTCCATAATAGCGCTAAAAATTAAACAACTCATTCTTCATGAAGCATGAGGAAAGGGTACACAGAAGCAAGAGCAAAAGCCTAACAAATCCATCTGGTTATGACACTCCATTCCAGCTGAGTATATGCCCCGTATGGCAGTCTTGTGTCTAATCCTACTGTCATACAGCATTACAGCCTTGCCTCCTTTGTGTAAAAGTCTTTTCTTTCAAGAGTTAAACTATTTGATAAAAGTTTTTAAATTCATATTTAGTTTAAAAGTTTTCAAATTCATAGGTAGTTATCTGTGAGGTCTTGTGATTAAACTTGATATGAGGACTGGCTAAATACACAGGATTATTTGAAAGCACAGTACTGAGCTGCTGAATATGCCTTTTCATATGGTGCCTGTATTAGCTCACTGTTTCACAGTTTGTTGGGTAAATATATACTTTGGATGTAGGCCCTAATACTAAGAACACAAAGACTGCACTTTAAAGATATTTTAGGGTGCCTACAACTTCTTGTTTTGCAAATGCAATTACAAAAAAAAAACCCCAGTTACAGTGTCACCTACATTCACAATCCATATACACAATAACATAAAAGTAGAAGATATCAGTTAGTCAGAAGCAAGGTGCACAGGCAGAGTTGGGCAAGAAAATATTAAAAATTGTATTATGAAAACATGTGAACACTCTCCGTGGGAATCCAGAAGGGCTCAGTCAGCTGGCAGTTTGTAGGCAGTCTGGACAAAGCAATTGTATTTTAGTAACAATGTTAGAATGGAAGAGAAGGATTGATCGGTGGATTACTGCTTTATGTGTTTTTCTAAATAACTGGCCTCATCATTGTGCTGCTCACAGTGGTGCTCTACTGAGCTGAAAGGTCACTCACAGATTTGGAGAAATACAGAACATCAGCTAGTAATATTTTGAGACAGAGGGAATAATATTTCTGCTAATAAGCAAGCCAAATTAATGGTTTTATGGTATTTAAAATATTGAAAAAACCCATGAACAATAAAGTAAAATACTGCAGTAAAAGCTGAAAACTTTAGTGCTAAAAGAGGGGAAGCAAAGAAGGGAAGAAGAAAAACTAAGCTAGCCTTCACAAAATATGACAAAGGATCAGATAAATGGTGTTTAGAATTTTTTTTTTAAATACTATACACTTTTTAATAGCCTTTTAAAAATAGTATGCACTTTCATTTTTATTGTGGGTTTGTTTGGTTTTTTCTGTTTAAAACTTACTTTAAATCTCTGTAGGGCATTTAAAGGATTTACAGGTTTTGGAGCAGGGAGAGGTCTGAATTTAGAACAGTCTAAATGTACAGAATTTGGCTCCAATTAATATGCCAAAACTTACTCTTTATGCACTTTTTGAAAATATAAGACCAATTATATTTTGGAAGTTAAAACAGCTTCCCCATGAGTAGTCTCCCAGGGACTCAAGATTTTACAGGATATTCCAGATTAAGAAAAGTACACAAGTTCATCTAACACTTAAAAAAATATTTTAAGTAAGAAATGCAGCAGTCAGTCCAACTTCTGCATCACAAACAGGATACTAAATTGTATTGCATAGTGAATTTAAGAAGAAATTGTTACATAAACCACTGCATCAAAAGCTAACAGGTAAACTTGTAATATTTATTCTGTTCCTAGTGTCTACTTCAGATACTTGTCAGACAACAACTATTAAAACCCAATGAAATATCCATGCAGCAAACTGACTTCATCATGTCTGAGTCTGAAGTACAAAGTCCAGTAAGAACTTTCTGGGTTTGTGTCAAAAGTGACACTGTTTATTTTCACATGTACCTGAGAAAATTTTCTCATTCTACTGGATCTCTGGTTCCGGGGTTTTATTAAAAGCTTGTGTCTAGCAGCAGAATTATCCAGGAAAGCAGAAAGCTCGGGTGGAGTGTCAAAACTGGCTGTAGGGGAGAAGGTACTGTCAGATGATGTCCGGGGAGACTCAGTGTTGGAACTTCCATGCCTAGTGAACAGCTGACCATCTGTAGAGCGAGATCTAGATGAAGAACCCAATGTAATCTGAAAAAAAAAAATAAATCCCCAAATGGAGAAACAAAGAAACAAAAATAACAGTTCTACAAATAACTAGCCATATTTATTACCATTTTAAGTTTGCCTCTTTTTCTTTTTGACATTTCTTTAAAATAGGTTGCATTTCCTAATGTTGCATGTGATCTACTGGTGTTAGCAATTCTGCATTTTTAGCTGCTTGAATATTATGATATACTGTCCAGTGAGAAATGGAAATCCCATCTACCTGGAAGATCTAAAGCACATAAATACATGGCCAGCATGTTTTAGAAGACAGATTTATGAAGAGTACTCAAGTTACAGAACCTAAAGGGCAATTTTCCTTTCTGGGTCTTTGTCTAGGCTCCTACCCACAGTTTTGTGCTAGCATCTTTAGCTTCCTATATGTCAACAGGTCCCTTCCAACTCTTCAATACCCTCCCAAAGATAAAAGAATTAAGAATTAGTGGCATTGACACTTAAGTCAGCTTGTGTTTTTACCTCATGTATTTATATCTGCATTTACTGGAAATGTAAAGTTTCATTAGTGGACTATTCTGGGGAAGGAAGTGATGGATAATTCCTACTAGAGGCCAATAACCCATCCAGAAACAGCTCCTGAATGCTGCAAGGGGTGTTATACTTTTACAAAGCTAGAATTCAGCTTGCCTGTGTGCTTCACCAAAAAGTACCCTAGTTCCAGGGATGATGCAAAAAGAACACTGGAAAATTTATTAAAAATTACTCTAGAAAGGGTTCCTCCTTTCTCTCAGATTCAGTTTTGCAAATAGGCAAAATGATATTTCCAAACTATCTGTCTCAGCATTAACTTGACCTCTGCCAACTCACGACAGCAGTCCCTTTGTAGGCTTGAAATCCTGGTACATTTCTTTGGAGGAGATTTCCTCCTTTGTCCTCTTCTATGGGTATTCTTCTTTCTTCTTTCTTTTTTTTTTCTGGTATTTTACTAAGGAGGTTAGATGGGAGAAGGGCAGGGCAGGTTGATGTTCATTTCATTTTGGGAGGGAAAAAGCATCAGCATTTTCTGCAGGTAGAATTCTGCAATATGCACTGCAACCCAAAGACACTCTGTAGTGTAGTGTAGTGTAGTGAGGGCCAACTACAGCTTGCTCAATGGCCAGGGGAAAACTCCCATGGATTTTAGCAGAGGCTGGATCCACACCTTCTAATCATACTTTCTGCTTAAGAAAAAGCAGGTGGCTCAGACATGCTGAATAATAGATGCTCTCATTAATTTTAACTCTACAGTATCTGCAGTCTAGTACTCAGACATGACTAATGTACAACAAACGATAGGTGGCTGCATTATACATTAGTACCTAACAGTGAATACATTGACATTTCACTCCATGATAAAGACACAGCACATGTTCACTTTCAAAGCACGTCATTATTTGCCTGCCTTTCTTCTGGCTCTTGCTTTTCCTCGAGAACTTTGCATGTCTTCTCCTTGGCAGTGCTCAGTGTTGGCCATTACATTGGAAAATCCAAAATCTGGTTTCTTACTTAAATTTCAGCAGCCTTAGTGAATGCCAGCTCTGAGCTGGCTACAGAAGTTTGTCCCATGAAGTCTGGCTTTGACAAAGCCTACTGGAGAAGGGAAGAGCTGGCAGACGCCTTTCTCCAAATCTCATGTGCACATGCCTCAGCCATCCTTCAGCTGTTCATGCTGGGTGGCACAAGGTGGGGGGCCAGCAGCTAACCCCATCTCCAAAGGCCAGACGGGAAAGTTGTGATTCCTCTCTTCAGTCCAGAAAAGCTGCCAAGACACAGCAAGGTGTCACTGCTGCCCAAAACCTCAGGACTGGGTTGTGCAAAATTCCTCAGCCCTGTGAACTGTCTCCTCTGACTTCTAGAAGCAGGGCTAATTTCTCTGAACTGCCAGGTAGTAGATCCTGCGGTTTGGGATGGAGCTGTGTTCTGGCCACACTCTCAAACTGGCATGGGATGAAGAGAACTCTGAGCTAAATGATAGGGCATGTGGAAGTGTGTAGTCACCGCCACGACTCAGGAGTCAGCAAGTGAGTCAGAAAGTAATGTTAATGGAACAACAGGGAGACATAAATCCTCTTTTAGCAAACATATATCTGGATGGGGCACAATTACAGTGAGCCTGTAACAGCGTTCAAGAAATACTTCCTTCATGAGTTCTGTTGTTTTTATTTTAAAAATATTAATACTGCACTGCATATAAGCAGTTTTTCAAACAGCTTCATGTGGATCTAAGAAGTAAGGCCTGAAATCTTTGCTGAGCCCTGCTGCAGCCGATCCTGAAATACATTTTGCATAATTACCAAGAAATGGTCAGCTCAGGACTTCTCTATTTCATTTCTGCAATTTCCCTCCACCCCTCCTCCTGTTTCTAGAAAATGCTCTTCCCTCTACCCCCTGTGTTGTTTCCACGATGATTCCAGCTGGGGACAGCTAAAAGGGACTCTTCAGAGCTTTTCAAAACAGCCCTTTAATCAGGCAGAACGGCTGGCTGCTGATTGAAGAAAGCCATCCATGCGCCTATACTTGAGCTCTGAAAAACATCACTTCAGCAAAACTCATAGCCAGAATCTGACTGAAGGCTGAACTCAGACTCCTAGGCAGCAATGTCAGCTGCTATCATCAGGCGAACACTTTCTGTGTCAGTGTAAAGTAACTTTGTAATTAAAGCGGGGTCTGGGCAGTTTTCAGAGGATCTAGAGCTTGTTCCCATCTCTTCAATAAGCTTTCTCCCTTATCCTATGCATATAACTCAAGCAGCCTTTAAAACTGCAATTTCCCATCTTTGAAAAAATGGACATTGCTTCAGTGTCTAAATCTGGTTGGTTGTGCTTGGAGATTAAATTATGTCTATCAAGTTTGCTAAAGGATATGAGCTTTTCTAGAGACATTAATTATTATCAATGGATGATTATTTTGCATCAGAATTATGTTGATAAGTAATCATAGTTTTTATGTTAGGCAGACAGACATTAAAACAGCAAACAGACGGGCAGGCAATTACATGCATACAAAGTTGATTTTTGCAGCAGACAGGCAACAAAATAATATTTTTTATATTTCTTTTAAAAATTACTATGGGTAATTACTTGTCCCTTAATACATTTGGCAGAAGTTACCTGTTCTTCTTCTTCACTGCCTGTTCCAGCTAAACTCAAGGAGCTAAGGTGCCTGTGAGAGTCAGAGAACTGTGGGATGGAATGAGGAAGAGATTCAGTAAAAGATGACAAACAAGGTGGTTATAATCACAGAAACCATCTACACAAAGTGTACAAAGGTACTGGCAGTGTAAGTTATTTTTCTCTGTAGTCTTAAGGATTAGCAAAGGCACTGCAAACATAAATGGTTAGACATGCAGATAAAGAATGAAATAATGTCTAACAAAACTATAATTTAAAAAAATACATTATTTCTTATTTCTTTTTCCAATGACAACCTAGAAGAACATTAGAGAGTTGTCTTATCAACACATTCAAGGGGGAATACAGATTTTTCAGCCTTTTTTTTATGCCTGGCAGCTCTTTGTAGTCTCTATAAAAAACAGCATTCCCATGCATGCACATAATCACATACTCTTCTTCCTAGTTTGGCATTTTCTGGTGTGATATTTATGTTTTAACAGGAACACAGATTCTAAGTAGCTGTTTACAGAGAGAGTGTGTTTTTCTCAGTTTGAGCAAGGTATTTCTGAATTGCTCAGAGGTAAAATAGGGATACATAAAACCAAATACTTTATTCTGCCATCCACATATAGGTAAAACAAGTCATTAAACGCTAATTTTTGTCAGCACTGGAACTACTCACTCTTGTTCTCAAGCCTGAGTTCAGGCTTTCATGAAGCAAAGACATTTCTGGAGGGCTCCTGGGTAATCCATCATCTTCAGAACTGGTCCCAGCATCCTCTGTTCGCTTTGCATGAAGTCCAAATGGAGGCGGGGGCCCCAATTTCATGGTAGGCTGGAGTTTCAGCTTCAGCATGGCATAAAATACATTAGCTTATGATAGTGATGGAGGATTCCCCAGAACATTTTTTCTAGTTGAGGTCAATGAGTTACCATTATTGTAACTTCACAAGTGAATGATCCAGGGCCCAGGATATCTGACTTTACACATTCTCTTAGTGAGCCAAATAAACTACCCATTTTTCAGCTATCATTTATGTAGAACCAAGGCAGGATACTGCTGTCTAATTAACAAATGCAACATTGGATGTAAACTGCAGACAAATATTACTTACTAATCAAACGTTCAACCACAAATACTACCCCCAAAAAAAAAAATCAAGCCTGGAAAAACATTCCACCTCTTGTATTTGAAAAAAAAATTATGTTGTGTAAATTACCTGTAAAGCCCTAATCCGATCAGAAACATTTTCTTGAGAAAACACTCTTACTGGCCTTGCAGGCTCTTGCCCAGTCTCAAGGATGAAAATGCTATCATGTGACAAAGCTCTGCTTCCCATAATGCCTTTGTGTGTCCTAGAATAATATAACAAATGAGTGAAAACATGCAAACTTTTTTTGCCATTTCTCTTAACTCAAGTGGTCTATTGAATGTGGAATGGGAGACAGGGATGCACAGCATACATCACAAACAAGATTCCAGACTTCTCCATGAATACAGCTACTCAGGGTAATATAAATAAGACCTTTAAAAACAACAACAAAAAAATTTTAAATGCTGTTATCTGTCATGTTAACAAACTGAATCAAGGTTAAAGACAGTTTAACACCAGAAGATGAGTTATGTCTTATCGAAAAAGTTACTTGAGTAGTCCTTCCCCTTGAGTGGACGCCAGCAGCTGGGTGGTGTCACAATGCCACAGGCAAGCCCAGGTGCAAAATGGAGTTCACATAAATGGGTCTGTACTGACACTGCTTGCTAATGTAAGACCATGTCACCATGAGTGACCATTACCATAGGAAGAGTAAGTGCCTTTTACTATCTAAAAGTGGCACAGCATTTAATATAGCTCTGCCATATAGATCGTTAGCAGAAACATTTCAGGAAATGTACTCCTCACATGGAATCCTTTGCATAAATCCTTAAAAAGTGCAGTGCTCTATATCAAGATCCCTTGGATTTTCTCTTATCAGCCAATGGGAAACATTTTTTAATGGACAATCTTTGTGGTCTAGTTAGAGAAAGTGGGAGATGCTTTGTGGGCAGTTTCTCTAATATTCTGTTTCCCACTTCTGATGCATGTGCTATGTGACTTCTTTTGCAAATGGTGCATGTGGGATATGAGCACCTTGCTCCTTATGGGAATGGTAGAAGAGGCCCACAGCCAGCCAGCTAGGTGCTAGGAGTTTCTTGTGCTCATTTTCCTCAGCTTAGCTCGTACCCTGACTGAGCAGGGAGAAGAAACGTGTGCTCACAGCATTTTTTGTAAGAGTACCTTTTTCAAATTTTTAAAATCAGGAAGCTATGAAATTGTAAATGAGTGCAGAGTAGAGAATTGTTTGGGTTTATGTAACTATCAAGTTAATTGAACAGAAAAGACAAAAGAACTGTATTTCTGGATCCTAGATACTGTTGTAGAGACATTGAAGACAAATATAAACAATCATGGCAGACAGTAACATTTTCCTCATAGTGGCTGCTATAAATATGTTTGATAAAACAATAGCAGGAAAGAGTTGATCTACATTCTTGCTGCAGAAGGAAGGAAAGCCTGCTGCTCCTGCTTAATGCATTAGAGACATTAGAAGAGCAATTTATCTAAGTGCAAATGTGATCTCTGCAATGCTTCCAAGGTCAGACAGATTTACAGCAATTTGCAGAGTAGGTGCCAGTCAGGGCTGCAGTGGTGCTCCAAGCACCAATATTCAGCAAGGGCAGCAGCCACACAGGCAGTGTTGTTGCATGGGCACATTTTTCCCAGTGTTCCATCCTCATTTCCTCTTTTTCCCAGACACATAATGGAGGTATTCTACATGTCTCCTCAGATTAAGAATGTCCAAATTAATTTTCCTTCCTTTCAAATAATTTCCTGGTCTTTGTCCGTCTAACTAAATATTAAGAAACAATAACTTAGCAACTCTTCGGGTTATAGCACAGGAATATGGCCAAAACAGCCAGACATGGCACCCACTCAGACATGACCTTGTTAAGCCATACACGGGAGAAAGAAAATTTCACCATCCACGTCTTGTAAATAAGTTGTCAAACAACTGCACTACACACCACGTGGTGCTGCCAGCCCAGAACTCCGAGGGCTTCAGGCTGGACTAACTAACATTACTATTGCCAAGGCCACGAAAGCAAAAAGGAAAAAACAAACAAAACCAAAGCATCGAAGAAAAAAAAAGGTAATTGTTTATAATTTCTTTTGGTTGTTTGGCGCTGCCTGGTGGCCACATTGAATAATGTCATTTTAAATGGCGGGGATAGTTTCCTCTCCCATTCCTGAGCACAGGAGCACCCCTTGCTTGAGGATCAGGAGGCTTGTTCTGAGAGGCACAAAATCCACCAATGCAAAGACTTGCTTTTTAGTTATCCAAAGGGCTATTCAGTCCACCTCTCCATCCAGAGACATATTTGAATGTTTGGGCTGGATTTCTCATGGTTACTTTTCATAGTGGGCAACATTTTTGCCATGTCTGGATGAAGATGGGGTTTTCAGAAGCAAAGAAGTACACAGGATGGGACTCATCTGGTCTAACTTCAGCCATCAGATTGCATCTATTTACACTGGAGGTTGTTATCCCAGGCTCCTGCTTACATTCAGTGGGGAGATATAGGCACTTCCAGAGCCTATTTCATGCATAAGGATGATACAATCTTTGCTAGTAATGCTGACTTCTCTCTTATTATAAAAGGCAGCTGGTAACTAACTATCCCTGTCCATGGCAGAGGTTGGAACTCTTCCAACTCAACCATTCTGTGAATCTGTGGTTCTATAACCCAAATGCAGATATTTTTCCTTTGGTCAGATGAATCCCATGTATACAAAGGCTCTGAAGCCAAAAAAAAAGGCTTCAGAGCCTCTGGATCCTGCAGTTTTCAGTTCCAGTCATCCTATTACTCCTTCCTTGCTTTCAAGCCCTGGCATAAATGGTTAGTCATCTAAATTTCTCTAACAATCCTTAGCAGTTACATTTTAGGGGCATAAGACAATCCTGGTAGGATATAAACTGGTTATCTAATTCATTTTTGAAGATAGGAATTTCATTATTTTGAAATTATAACCCAAGGCTTATTTATGATTAAATGAAAGCTTTTTTCATTAATATTTCTTGCTACACCCTATCCAATTCCCTTCTGATTTGCCTTGCACCAACTATTTTAATTTGTACTTTCCTGGGAAAAGCAACTATTTGAAAATACAGCATTATGAAGAAGGGGACGAGGCAATTTTGGGGTGTCTTTAATCTAAAATATTGTAGCAATTTTGTATTTGTTTACCAGATAGAGTCCAAAGACTTACTCAAGTTCATCTTCAGAATCATAAATAATGTGCATGTCATGAGAGGCTGCGACATCACTTGTTGACTGGCACAACTTCAGACTGCTGCTCACAGAAGATGACGTCTCTTTCCTTTTCTTCTTACCAAAAAACTTTTTGAAAGATTTGAACTTCGATTTTTTCTTTCCTAAGTGAGGAAACATAAAGAAGATGCAACCAGCAGCATGTGCACATTTTTGAACAATAACATTTCTTTATTATTTTTTTGCACAAGTGGATTTTTTCCTGGAAAATGCAACACACTGTTGCATTAATTTCTTTCAAATCTGTACTGATAGTATGAAATTACTTTTATCTTGGAGAATGGATTGCAGTGTTTATGAGACATAAGAAATAACCGATGTAGAATTAGTCCTAGTAGACTTTCTAGTTGCCTCTTGAGGTAATTAAACTGTGAAGAAAAAATTTGGTCTCAACTGCCTGGGATTATGAAAAAGAAATTATTACTTGGAAACCCACTGCCTTTGTTCAGCAAGCTAAATAGGGATGATAAGAGCAATGCTACCAAAACCAATTTAAATATAGAAAAGGCATACATAGGTGAATGTGCAGTGTCAGGAGGCTAATGCTTTTAAAATGTTGGGTTTATAATAAACCAAGAATATTTTAAATGCTAATTACAAGATTCAATGGATCACAAAGTATTCATCTAGGAATCAAGCAATAACCTTGAACAGCATTCTAGTCTGCTTAGTGAGGAAACACCTAAATTAGGATCAGTTGCAGCTCTGTGAAGGAAACTATTTCAAATTAAATCAGTGTTTTGCACAAGAATTCCAACAACTTGTGCCTGGCCTGTTTAAGTTGGCATGACAGCACTGCGAGGCATCCCTATCAGCATTTCACTCACTCTTGGATCTTGCTGGGTAAAAAAGTTAACTTGGTCCTAAGACGCTATAAAAATCTTATCTCAAGCCTCTGAAAATGCTGAAAACATGTAACAGCTCTTGGAGACAGGAGAAGAGAAAGGCAGAATGCATCCTGTAAACAAACAAATTCACTTCTATGACAGAGCTAAGGCATAGAAGCTCAAGAAGTGACAGCACTTTTCATTCACTGGGGAAGGGAGAAATTATACCTGAATTGTCCTCTCCATCTCCTTCAGCCTCTCTCATCTTAGGGTCCATTATTCTTGAGGAACTCATGTGGTAATCACTAAAGGAGGAACAAAAAGTGTTAGTTGTATCAACAAAAAAACAGTACTTCACTATATATGTGTACACATACAAACAGGCAAGTTACTAAAATATAAAAATATAGAATAGAATATTATGTGTATGCTTACATAATATACATCTCCATATACATCTAAACATATGTGTGTGTGTATATTATATATAAATATACATAAAACATACATAATATATAAAAATATCCTATATGGTATTAACTAGGCTAAGGTGTAATAGATTACACAGATTATTTCCACTTTCAGAAAACAATAGTACATGTTTAGTTGTCCAGCCTCTCCTGTCTGAAGACTGACTGGTAAATTCTTGAATGCTTCTAAAAACATGTATCAGAGGAGGTGGGCTTCTTTGATTCTCTCTTTCTCAGCCCATTCAGGACCAGTGACAAAAGGACAAAATTATGGCATTTGAGTAAGTTTACAAGTAACAACAGTAGAGAACCCCATGTATTTTTGCCTTATTTATATCCAATTTGAAGTATTCTACAGATTGTGGTTTTTCTTCTTTCTAAAGACACTTGGAAGGAGTTAGCTTCTTTCTATTCCTTTCTTTTTTTATAGATAACAGAGTTAGGGAGAATTAGTAACAGAGAAATACAAGTAAACATAAAACAACTGATTTTCTTGTTTTCTTCTCTCTTCTTTACTTTTTGGAAGCAAAATATTGCTTTGCTTACTAAGGTTCCTAAACTGAAAAATAATTGCAAAACTGTACATATACAAAGCCTGAAGACACGATATCTGTAATTTAAATTTTATTTCTGGTACAGTAGTCTGTTTGTGCTCTCTTCATCTGGAGAGCCATAATTTCATGGTCAAGGCAAAAGAAAGTCATGGATGCCATTGATAGGATAGTGAGTGAAATGCTGTAGAGTCACTCTTTGGGCTGTAATGGTGGCAGATGCTCATGCCACACCCTGGATGGGAGGGTGAGTAGACTGTGGCTGTTTTGATTCACTAAAGTACCGGGAGATTTCAGAAATAAGGCTTGTAAATCCAATGAGCTACTGAAATGGAAATGAAACCTTTATTACTCAAATCTAAAACACAACACATCACCTGAACCATCTGCAGCCACATGAGCTGGGCCACAGCACACAGCTGCAGGACAGCCATAGCGAAGGCACCTCTACTGCCTGGCAGCTCCAGGGCTTCTGCAGCAGACAGACCCAGACCTGGGCATGAAACACCCCCTGCCTCCACCTACCAGGTACCAAATCAGAATTAGCATGAACATGAGAGTGAGAAACTTTTGGTCAAGGGCATCTGCCTGAAGTATGGAGAATTAATAAGGAACCTACCATAGAACAAGACGTGTATGAGGGTGGTGAGGCACTGGAACAGGCTGCCCAGAGAAGCTGTGGCTACCCCACTCCTGGAAGTGTTCAAGGTTGGGCTGGATGGGACTTTAAGCAACCTGGTCTAGTGGAAGGTGTCACTTCCTATGGCAGGGAGGTTGGAACTAAACTATTTCAGCACAAACACTTCTGTGATTCTAGGATACCTTTATTTGTAAAGTGAATGTCCACTGGGAGGTGACAGATAAATATGTATTGTGGGCTGTGGCATACCTAGTCAATTGTTAAACAGGGTGTCTCAGATTCCTGCTGTCACATTGCAGTAGCAATGGCAGGAATGTAAATCAATACCTTTAAAGCTTCAGCTGTTATATGCATGCCCTGTAGCATCTATAAGCTACACACATCCAGAAGTGGGATTCTACAGTCTCTGTATAAATTGTGGATGGCATAACTCACATTCCCATCTGTGGCTCACTGGCATCACCCTGCAGCATCCAGCTGCACTCAGGTGAGGATATTTTTTTTTATCCAAATATTTGTATGCCATACTTCACTAGTTCTCAATAGCAAAGCCACTGGGGGATAAACTCCCCCACAGTGACAATGTTTGTTGGTAACACGCAGGCAAGTATTAACATGTTCCCTCTGGCAAAATTCAATCAGATAGTATATTATATTCCTGACAAATCAAAATTATATTCCTGTCCCAAATCTTGGCAGCCAAATTTCTAGAGAATAAAATCAACAAAAAAAAAGTTAGCTCCACCATAATGCGTGCAGAGATTAATGTGATTTATTTTGTGACATGTGAGGTCACAAAGAGAGTTTCCACTGGATGCCTCAAACATTGAGGGACACTAATATCTGACTAAGGGTGCAGCATAAATCTCCTCGCTTAGAGGAAACAGGACACTGAATCTTGATGGGCTCTCTCCTTGCCAGTCGTGCATTTTAAAGCAAGATCCTCACTCCCCTTCTTTCCTCATGCAGCCATTCTTCAAGCCACCACATTTTTGCTGTTTCCTAACATTATTTAAGAACTAGTGTGTCTTACCCCGAGGAAGGCAGCCCTCCACTACTGTGTCTCTTGTGAGAGTACAGGGCTGGAGCTCGGGCTTGCAAGAAGGAAGGAGGTGCTTGGCCACCGTATGCGTGTGTATGTGATACTCAAATTCCATCATGCCTGGAATCCTGGGGATTTGGTTATGTGGGGAAATCAAGTTTCTAGGTTAAGGGAAGATGCAGGTCAATGTGCATCATCATATTGTATTATTTGTCCTGGATATGACCCATCCTGGGCCAATGCTAGCCTGTAGCTGTTCCATCCACAAGAGCAAGATAAAACAATTCAAAAAACATGTGGAGTTGACTACTGGCAAGGGGAAGTTGGGCTGTCTGGCCTCAGATTGATCCTGGTTGGGATTGTTATAATCAGACAGAGATAACTCCCAAAATGTGATTAGAGCTTGTGAGGAGACAAGTAAATTGGACTAAAGTACAGGAATGTAGATAGAGACCAGAGTAACATATAATGACTACTAGAAAAGATTGTAATGGGTTCTGTCGAGGTACAGGGGAATAACCCTCCAGAATCTTAACAATATTTTATTATTATTCATTATAATAAAGTAGCAAGTGTATTTGTGGATCCAGCTGCCTCTGACATCTGCAACTATTTTAAGGATCACATGTCAGAGTGACAAAGAGAAAAATCAGAAAGATATTCTATTACCTGGGGATTCTAAACTTGTCCAATACAGAAATGATTTGTTACTCACCAGCAAAACACACAAAGATTGTTTGACAGATACTATTTTTCCATGTACTGCTTTAGCAAGTCATCCAGGGATTTCTTTGTTTAAGGACCTTCTTGAGAGATGCCCAACTCAGGCTGTAATGCTACTAATTAAAAGTATTTTAAAAATATTTTTACAGAGGAATCTGTCTTTCAGCTTATTGATTCAGCAGAAACTTAATCGAACCCAGTTACTGTGGCTGGCATGTGTAATTTCCAGAACACCAGGTCCTACTACTGCTGCCAGAGTCATCCCATGACAGCTCAGTGTCACCTGGGGAAAAACTTAGCTGCTTTGCTGTGGGAGAGCTGCCCAAGTGACCCAGGCTGTGTGCAGAGAGGAAGCTTGTCCAGGTAAGGTAGCTTTGGAGTGAGGCAGAAAGCATCCCAAGGTGTGGGTCAGAGGCATTGGGGTGCAGGAGATACCAGGCACAAATACCAATGGCCTCAGCCTCCTGTGCAGGAACCCAGAGACTCTCTTACCCTCAGCAAGGAAATGGCTATTTTAAATTATGGCAAATAAATCCTGTAAGTTTGGGTTGGGTAAGCAATACTGGGTTTGCAGTGGAGTGATTGTAAAGCTTTTAATAAAAACTGCCTCTCAACTCATCGTGCAATTATAAGGATTTGGTTTCCAGTTCAAAAGATATGTTTCCAGCCCAAACCCAGGGTTTGGTGTGACTATCCCAGGCCAGTGGTGGCTGACACAGAGGAGGAGGTGGCAGCAGTCCTTGCAGCAGTCACTATGTTGTGCAAACATACACTATGACAAGGCCAGCGAGGTGCAGCCACGCGCCCCATACCAAGGATGCAGGAAGAGTTTTGTGCCTTCTGTTTCCAAGGGGAGATTTGTTTGCATCAAGGGATGAATGGACACATGCTTCCTTAACCCAAGAATGGCATGGAGGGATGGGGAGTCAGCAAGCAGAAGAGAGGACTGGAAGAACTTGCAAAATGCTTTCGGGCAGTGTGCTGGTGTTCAGGTTTTCAGAAAAATGCTCAAAAGTCAACAGATTCATTTTTAGCAAACCTGCTCAAAACCCTGGTTTTGAGCAAATGCTGAAGCTGACACTTAGCCACTTGAGCACTTTGCCAAGTGATGGTTTGCACTGGAGCAATATCTCAAGACAGTGTGAAGAAATACTGGTCCTAGCTGAGCATCCGGCAGCTGCCAGAGATCCCTCGGCGACGCTCTGCAAGCCAGGCACCACCTGCCTTAGCATCTCACCAAACCTAACTGTAAACAATTACATTCATCTCTACCATAAAATTTACTATGGTTTTTTTATTAACATGAGGGAGGGTGGGTTTCCTTTTAAATGCTTCCTTTGCACTGTCAGAGAAACACAGGTTTTCAACATCAAGAAACAACCCTTTTTTTTGCCCCCAAATATATGAACTTTGAGAACCAGACCGTCTATATCTCTCCTTTTTCTTTCAGTATAATGTATTTTAACATTATCTTTAGGCAGATTTTCAATCTTTCAAGCCTTTTCCTCAACATCTGCAACAAACCCTCCAGTATTAATACATTCATCATAGGAAAGATTTGATTAATACATGATACTTAAGAGGAAAAATAAAAATATCCAGAGTTTACTTGGTGTAACTGTAACTGCTTGTCATTTCCCTGACGTAAACAGAGATTGCAGTTTTTGCTCTGGAGCCAAATTTTCCACCCTCAAAGCTTTTTTTAAAATCTACAATGGCCTACAAGCTTAAGAGCTGTGCAACGAAATACTGATGAAATCCAGCAGCTTTGAATTTGGCACCCACTGGGATGGGTGGTATTCATTGTGCACTTATGCTTGGATCTAGAGGCTCGGCTGCTGAGATTTCTCATTTCCATTTCCCCCAAGGATTTACTGAA